CCGTACAGAGAAGGAAATGATTAGTTGAATAAAGTCGTTATTTTTGCGCACAAAAAGTATTCTCGTCGCTTGATAAACTTAAGGTTGAGGCACTGTAGTCACTCGGACTATTTTAAAGATGTTTTTCATAACTTTTGGGCCGGCCAGTTTCGATCCCTTAAGAAGCCTATGGAGGAGTGATCCAGCTCTCAGATTTAATCAGAAATATCTTTATTTGTGTTCCGAAGATGAACGAAAGTCTTACGGGGTTGAACAACATGAGGGTGAGTAATTACTGACAAGAGTTTTCATTTTTGGGTGAACTAACCCTTTAAGACACCGCATGCAAAAGTCAATTAGACTCAGGGTTGCGTAGCTATAGCCATTTTTATGTTTTTTTTCCATGTTATAGCGTCACCAAGTGGCCAGTTGCCGCGTAACATATCTCATTTCGTTAATGAGTTACAGCCATTTTAGTAAACATGGCTCCTCCCACTTCGAACATTGGCGGGCCCCATCGAATAGTATTTTTTTTTTATATATATATATAATTATTGACAATCAGACTCCAGAGAATCTTGCTGCACTGGTTTGGTTTTTATCAGGACAAAAACCTAGAACTAGTTCACAAAAGTAGATTTTTTTTTTTACAAAATCCAAAATACTGAACATTTCGACAATCGAATCTGAGCCAAGGATTCCAACGATATAAGACACTTGAGCCTACGCCTGACGGCTTAGGAGTTATGAGCAGTTTCAGACCTTTGACCGCAGCAGCGCCCCCGTCAGGCCGATCTCGGTGACGGTGTAGACAGTGTAACAACTACCAGCCCGCCAAGTTACAAGCCTATATGACTTACGGTTCGGTCTGCCTGATCACTTTTAGGTGAGAATCCTGATCCTAGGAAATTTTAGACAATTACAACAGGGTTGCAGCGATACAAGCTTAAACCCCTAATAAAATTAAATGAAATATGCATACAGTATATGGGTGTTTCTTCACCTTTGGGCACAGGAGTTAATTTATTATTTAATTAAATGTTTTTTTTCTTTCTTTTTGTTATATGAAGGTCATCTTTTATTACTTTAGATTTAATTATTTTACCCTTGCCCCAGACAAAGACTTTCAATCTACAAAAAAAGTATAAAATTCCATCATAAAAAAAAAAAAAAAAAAAATCTCAAAAAAGAATATAAACTATTACAATATTTATTGTGTGAAATTATTTCTTCACATTTGTATGCAAATTAAGAGGTTGTGGCATCATTTCTGCAATGACCAAATATTTTGACCCAAATAAGATTTAATGAAAAGTTGAGATAAAACCAAATCATATTAAGTATTAATACAGTAGGCCTACATATAAATGTATGTAGAATGCATAAAGACTCAGATATAGATATTTAAAGAATATATAGACATACACAATCTGATGTATACTCATATGGATATATTGTCCTTCACTGGTTTTTCTCACACTCATTTTGTCTCTCTCTCTCTCTCTCTCTCTCTCTCTCTCTCTCTCTCTCTCTCTCTCTCTCTCTCTCTCTCTCTCTCTCTCTCTCTCTCTCTCAGCAAGTCGGTCACATCCTGATGCCAGTTTCTGATTTCTAAACATTCCTCCAATCTGTTTCCATGGACACAGAGGAGGGGAACGAGAATGAGAAGACGATTATCAGCCAGACTGACTAACGAAAAGCTTATTGTTCAACAGCATTTTCCCATCATCCTCTGGAGCTAATAGAAGATACTGACAGGAGAGGAAGACCTCCATCCCTCTTTATATCCACATAATTACTTCTCCAGGCTACAATTGTCCATTAAACAAGGAAAATGGCTGTCATGTAGAGGGTCTGAGGCAGTCGGTCTGTTCACAGATATGATACAGGGCACTGTCAGAGTGGCTATTAACTGAACAGTTGTAGTTTTCATGAAAATAGTCAGTACTATAAAAAAACCCTAATCTAAAACATCTATCTAAAATATCCAAACATTTGCACTGCATTACCCATACAATGCAAATAACCTAGTCTTAGTCAGTAGCTTTTGTTGTTGATTATTTGAAAGAAATATTGAAGGAAGAGCACTCCTAAAGGACCCTGAAGCTCGTCAGAGACCCATTGGGAAGACGTTAATTAGGCACCATCTCCATACGTCACACAAATAGCGCATTGCCAATGAGAAGGACAATTAATTCAGATGTTAATAGGACACAGTATATAATAAGTACATAAAACACTAATACATTGTCCACTTTAAGTAGACACAATTATTGATATTTGCAGTATTGAATTAAATATGTACTTAGTCTGTGTTCACGGTTCACGAACACCTCATTTGTTACTATGGTTACTGATGTCATCCAGGTGTGTGTAATTAATCCTCCTTGTTTGCCAGTGTATTCATGGTCATGTGCCTGTATCTACAACCACCAGTTGGGACAGTTCAGCATTTCCTTTGCTTGGGTCATAAAATGTGTGTTTTCCATGTTAATCAGAGTTTTTGTTCTGACTAGCCGCGACAACGATACATTTCTGCGACGTCACGGCTTGAACAACAACATACACTAATAATCTCAGATGCTGATTATGTGCTTTCTTTAATGTTAAAAGAATTGAATGTGAGTTTATAATTTTGCATGACCTTCATATCTGTACTGAAAGTGACAATAGATAGTTCACATCCTCACTCTAAATTGTAATGCAGACATGTATTTTCTGTAAAGCTGCTTTGAAACAATATGTATAGTGAAAACCGCTATACAAATATATGTGAATTGAATTGAATATTTGAAATAAATTAAAGGGAACAAGAACATTCAAACTGCGAACAAACAAGTGTATTCAGTGACTAAGATTGTATCAGTCACTCAGTGTGTATTTTTAGCTGTGATTTCTGATTGATTTGGTTGCGAGTGCAGGATGTTTGCATAGAGACTCCGCCCACACTCTCTTCTGATTGGCTGTGATTTCTGATTGATTTGGTTGCGAGTGCAGTGTGTTTGCATAGAGACTCCGCCCACACTCTCTTCTGATTGGCTGTGATTTCTGATTGATTTGGTTGCGAGTGCAGGATGTTTACAGATACTCCGCCCACACACTCTTCTGATTGGCTGTGATTTCTGATTGATTTGGTTGCGAGTGCAGTGCGTTTGCAGAGAGACTCCGCCCACACTCTCTCCTGATTGGCTGTGATTTTTGATTGATTTGGTTGCGAGTGCAGTGCATTTGCATAGAGACTCCGCCCACACTCTCTCCTGATTGGCTGTGATTTTTGATTGATTTGGTTGCGAGTGCAGTGCGTTTGCAGAGAGACTCCGCCCACACTCTCTCCTGATTGGCTGTGATTTTTGATTGATTTGGTTGCGAGTGCAGTGCGTTTGCAGAGAGACTCCGCCCACACTCTCTCCTGATTGGCTGTGATTTTTGATTGATTTGGTTGCGAGTGCAGTGCGTTTGCAGAGAGACTCCGCCCACACTCTCTCCTGATTGGCTGTGATTTTTGATTGATTTGGTTGCGAGTGCAGTGCGTTTGCAGAGAGACTCCGCCCACACTCTCTCCTGATTGGCTGTGATTTTTGATTGATTTGGTTGCGAGTGCAGTGCGTTTGAAGAGAGACTCCGCCCACACTCTCTTCTGATTGGCTGTGATTTTTGATTGATTTGGTTGCGAGTGCAGTGCGTTTGAAGAGAGACTCCGCCCACACTCTCTCCTGATTGGCTGTGATTTTTGATTGATTTGGTTGCGAGTGCAGTGCGTTTGCAGAGAGACTCCGCCCACACTCTCTTCTGATTGGCTGTGATTTTTGATTGATTTGGTTGCGAGTGCAGTGCGTTTGCAGAGAGACTCCGCCCACACGTTCTTCTGATTGGCTGTGATTTTTGATTGATTTGGTTGCGAGTGCAGTGCATTTGCAGAGAGACTCCGCCCACACTCTCTCCTGATTGGCTGTGATTTTTTATTGATTTGGTTGCGAGTGCAGTGCGTTTGCAGAGAGACTCCACCCACACTCTCTCCTGATTGGCTGTGATTTTTTATTGATTTGGTTGCGAGTGCAGTGCGTTTGCATAGAGACTCCGCCCACACTCTCTTCTGATTGGCTGTGATTTCTGATTGATTTGGTTGCGAGTGCAGGATGTTTACAGATACTCCGCCCACACACTCTTCTGATTGGCTGTGATTTCTGATTGATTTGGTTGCGAGTGCAGTGCGTTTGCAGAGAGACTCCGCCCACACTCTCTCCTGATTGGCTGTGATTTTTGATTGATTTGGTTGCGAGTGCAGTGCGTTTACAGAGAGACTCCGCCCACACGCTCTTCTGATTGGCTGTGATTTTTGATTGATTTGGTTGCGAGTGCAGTGCGTTTGCAGAGAGACTCCGCCCACACTCTCTCCTGATTGGCTGTGATTTTTGATTGATTTGGTTGCGAGTGCAGAGCATTTGCAGAGAGACTCCGCCCACACTCTCTTCTGATTGGCTGTGATTTTTGATTGATTTGGTTGCGAGTGCAGTGCGTTTGCAGAGAGACTCCGCCCACACTCTCTCCTGATTGGCTGTGATTTTTGATTGATTTGGTTGCGAGTGCAGAGCATTTGCAGAGAGACTCCGCCCACACACTCTTCTGATTGGCTGTGATTTTTGATTGATTTGGTTGCGAGTGCAGTGCGTTTGCAGAGAGACTCCGCCCACACTCTCTTCTGATTGGCTGTGATTTTTGATTGATTTGGTTGCGAGTGCAGTGCGTTTGCAGAGAGACTCCGCCCACACGTTCTTCTGATTGGCTGTGATTTTTTATTGATTTGGTTGCGAGTGCAGTGCGTTTGCAGAGAGACTCCGCCCACACTCTCTCCTGATTGGCTGTGATTTTTTATTGATTTGGTTGCGAGTGCAGTTTGATTTTTAAATTTTGAATTGCTTGCCGCTGGAATCGCATCACGTCAATGTCTTCGAAGGCCTCATAGTATTGCTGCTTCACACGTGTCATGGGAAGGCCGATGGCTGTGTGTAGCATGTACTCACTGATTGGAGGCTGCAGGGGATGTCCGGTTTTGGCGCACCAGCCGGCAGGATGAATATCTGGGCTATCGGCGTCGGTCCAGTAATCATACTCATCTGTCCAGCCATCAAAATGGATCTGCAAGAGAGCAACGCAGGTTACAATGCAAATAATAATAACAATAATATGTCTTAATTTGTATTTTGTCTCGCTTTCCAGCAAAAATATCAAAACATCCTTGAAACAAAATGTTTTAAAACTAATTAAAATGATTTGAAAAATAATAATAAAATAAAATGTTTTCAGGAAATATATTAACATGTTTAAAGTTTATTTTTTTCTTTCGTTACTTGTCTTAGTAAACCTCACTGAATTTAGTTTAGTTAATTTGAAGACAAATCCAGCTAACAGGAAACGTTCTTTTAAGGTTCTCTCAAGTCGAGTCACCTTTATTTCTATAGCGCTTTTTACAATACAGAGTGTTTAAAAGCAGCTTTACAGAGATAACAGGAAAATAATGTTATAATAATATTGTTAAATATAAATGTCCCCAACTAAGGAAGCCAAAAGCCAAGAGGAGAACCCAGGCTCAGTCGCTCAGTTCTCCTCTGGCCTGCGATGAACAGTGTGTGATTATGATCAGGCAGCATTACAGGTCAGAGGTCAGATTGATCGAACATTATATAATGCAGTTCATCTGTTTGAAAACCGGAGTCAAAGTCAAAGTTGAAGACTCAAAGTTATAAAGGAACACATTCTTTCAGTAGCTCTAAAAGAAAGTTTGTTTAAAGTTATCTGGTCTTTCATAATGTTTTATACATTGTTTATACAACCCCGAAACGTTGGTAAATTTTTTTCACTGTCTCTACTTGTTTCAGAGCGTTCAAAGGACATTCAGATAACCGAGAAAACCTGTTTTTAAAACACTTTTTGCTACAGAAACTATCAAAGTAATTGCAAAAAGGATTTTCACTGTCAGAATGTTATGAAAGTTTTTGCAAACTGGATGTTTTGAACGCTCAGAAAACATTCAGAAATGACGTTTTTATAACTTTTATAAAATTCCTAGAGCAAAAACACTGAAGATGCAAGTCCTTGTTGCAGTTCCTTTGCTAGTTTCTGTAGTGGTGGTTAAACTCCCCTAAAGTGCCCGAGGTTTGAGAGAGGTGTGTGTGGCATTAGATGGAAAGCATGGGTGGTGTGGTATAGGGGTTAAGGCTGGTTATTACTGTTATTACTGTAACTGAAGGCAGGTTTGATCTTCACATGAGCTGTCAACATCGTGCCCTTAACTCACGCCGTCTTTCCCTGCTGACATTGCCTGAAAGTCACTGCAAATGTGTGCTGGATGTGTGGGGATAAATAAAGATCCTATTCTTGCATAAGGTACAACACACCCCAAGGCACGTCAGATGAAAGCAGGAACAGCTTGGCAAGTAGCATGTCAATGTCCCTTGAGAAGATTATCTTCATATTGCAAAGCAGATCTCCAGAGACGTCGACGCTAACTGGAATCAGAAGCGTTGGCAGAGAGCAGACTGCTGGCAGGGGGTTTAGATGCTCTCTACTCTTTAAAAAGAGCTGCTGCGATCAAAACAAAGAAGAAAAGAGCAGCCTGTGTCCAGGACTCTGATAAAACCGTGTTTTTAGTGGTGTTCACAGCACAGCTGACTGTCATTATGTGGACATCCGGACCAGGCTGGCTATTTTAATTCCCTGCAAGACAGTTTGAGATGTTTAGTTTGCATCCTTCTTATCGGTCGCTCTGTTATTTAATGCGTCTATTTCCACACCTCCATCCATGACTAAATCAATTTGAACATATCAATATCTCTAACCACATCTCGCTTCCCTCGGGCTTTGTTCACACCAGTTTTGTTGTAGTATCATTGAGATACCATTATAGTTCTTGTTAATATTTTGAATTAGATTTTATTTTTTATAATTTCTGTTTTCACCTTAGGTTTAGATAAAGTTTCAGTAATTGTTTTAGTTTTTGTCTATATAGTTCTTAAAGTCCCCCTGTGGTGCAAATCCAGCTTTTAAATGTTGTTTATGTGTCTATGTGGTGTTTTTAATATGCTTTAAGACACACCATGTGTAAATTCATAAGTCGACAGCATTGCTGAGTATTTTCTGCTTAAAACTGCAGTGAACCAAAGACAGTCTCAAAAACACGGTGTGAAATCGCTGGTGTTTCTGACGTCACAAACGACCTTGTAACCAATCAGATCAACGTGTGATCGTCAACCAGTGGATCTCTGAGCTGAGTGAGTGAGTGGAGGCGGGGCTCATCTGCATATTCATAGAACCGCGTATACTAAATGAGGCAAGGGTGTCGAGTTACATTCAAGATATTTTAAGGCATGAAGAATTTTTTTTTCAAGGAAAAACCGTTTATGTCATTTTGGTGATCAAAGATGAGTTTTAAAGGAGCTGTATGTAAGATTGTGGCCAAAACCGGTACTGCAATCACTTTCAAATTAATAGCCGCGTTTCCACTGTCGGGCCAGTGCTAGGCCAGGGCTTTAAACGGGCCGTGCCGGGCTAATAGCCTCGGGCCAGTAGCACCTGGCCTGCGTTTCCACTGTCGGGCCAGAAGCTCCACAGCGCGTCACTAAAACACGCCCGCAACACGCCTCTCTGGAACGTCACACTAACCCATCATTTCACCAACAAATGGAAGTTTTACCAGAAAACTAATCAGAAAGAAATCACTGGAAACAGCGTGCATCGCAAAACAAACATGATAAAAGCGGCCGTTTGCTGGCATTTTTGTTGTTTACTTGAATATTTAAAACCCAAGCATCGATGTTTTACCACAGGTTTACAATAAAAAGTGATACATTGATCATAATGAATTAATTTATGTCAAAGTTGCACATTAGTCACACAGAAATAAACGACCGTTAGGTCTATTTCAAAAAAGAAAGAGGACACACTTACATTATTCAGTCGAGGCTGTTTTTTGTTTATTTGGTAGTTACAGGACATATATCACATTTAGAAAGAATGATAATTTCTACAAATAATGTTATATGCCACCAAAAAAACGACCTGAGGAGCGTTAGCACAGTCTCGACTCCCAGTAGCTACAGATATATTTTCAGTCAGAGAAACAGGAAGCTCCCGAAAAAAAAGTAGATAGTCCGGTATAAAGAGACTACTATGTAGTATATGTAGGCTACTGACAGATAAAATAAAAACATGATTGTGATAGCCTTTATGAATGGTCTGACTTCTTCAAGCGTTCACCATGTTTTTTTACTATGCGTATCTTCAAGCGTTTACTATGTTTACTATGGTAATGGTTAGCGCGCATAGTCTTTTGCATCGCGTATAAATATTTCTACCTTATACGGTGATCAGAATCCACATCGGATCACAAACAGAAGGCATTAAAACATGAAAGTGAGTTAAATTATTTTAAAAGTCTTTAATGCTGACAGAATCCATCGGCGCTGTCTCTCGACTCAGGTAATCCCCGCCTCTGTTCGTAACCACTCCTCTAGCCCGAGCTGGCCCGCTTTGGCCCAAGGTATTCGACGGGCCAGAAATCCTGGCCGTTGGCCCCGAGTAAGCCCCGATCAAGCCCCGGAAGTGACAGTGGAAACGCGACTGGCCCTGGCACGCACTAGCACGGCCCGGCCCTGGCCCGGCAGTGGAAACGCGGCTACTGTAGAGCGGTGTATCCCCTCCCCCTCCCCCCTGACTCGAGGTTGCCAGATCGACTGCATTTTTTTATCCGACACGTGTGTAGCTGCAGCTGTGGTAACTAGAGCAGAGCTGGCAACCCGGATGGCGCAACACTACTGACTTCGTGATTGGTAGATAGGTGGAGGGAGGAGCATCAGACCAAAACACAACATGACAACATCAACATCAGTTGAGGGCTGCAACTTCACTTTTTAAATGACAATATCCTGGCCGGACTACTGTTGTCAGTGATATAAGTATTTGAAATGAACATGATTTCTCAATGTCTAGTGACATATCAGGGCCATTTTATGATTAATTCAAATACATTTCTTACATACAGCTCCTTTAAGGGATACAATTTTTGACTACAGCGGGACTTAAAGTTTTAGTATGCAGTTTAAGTAATTTTAGTGCTTAAATTAAAGTTTTGACGGTAGAGGTCGCTTATTCAAAACAGTAAGAAAGGCGCGCTTGATGCTGGGTATGAGCGTGGAATCATGGGAGTTGTTGTCTTCACCTCCACAGCCGACGAGACTCGGGCAGAAATCACGTTCATGGATGAGTGGATGTATTAAAGTTTTATTAACGTTACTGAGGTATAAAGTAGTGCAGTGCCTCAGATTTTACCTTGCTGTTTTTATTATACTTATATGCTGCACTCTTCCGCTTTCATTTTGCTGTTTATCTTTATTCTAAGATTAAAGTTACGTTTAACGTCCGCCTCTTTCTTCCCTGAACTTGAACTTTGTTAAAGTTACATTTGATCACTTAAATTCACATGATTTAATTTGATTCGAATGAAAGAGTTCTGAACTGCTACTCGTACAGGTCACTTTAACTGACGAATTAAAATTGTGAGGTAAAGCAGCACTGTTTAACTAGGCCAAATCAGTCATACTAAAAATACATTTGAGTGTGTTATAATGTTATAACGTACACTGCTAGATCGATATTAGAATAGCATATTAATAAAAGCTGGATGACTTGTGTTGCTAAATGGTATGTAATTAATTTTAAAATATATTGCATGATGGAGAAAATGCTGTAGTCTGTTACTAAAAATAAAGCTCTTTCTGATTATACTATGTTACCCACTCGACAAGATAGCATTGTCTCTGAGGCACGGTACAAACTTAGCAAAACAAATCAAGAAAACACTTCCAAAAAATGTGTTTTTAGGCTTAATTCTGTGAAATTCAGGGTTTTTAGGATTTTAGATCTTTTAGTGTTATACAGCCTGGATTTAAGACTTTTTAAATGAACTATTTAAGGGTGCACAGATACACTGAGTGGGGTTTGAGTCGGACATGACAAAAAATCCAATCCTCTTGTGTCTGTCCTGTGGGAGAGTCGAGGGCGTTGCAGAAAACCATCAAATGTAAAGACGTAAAGGTCTTTTTCCTCAAAGTCAATTACAGCAGCTTCAGGAAATATTGACGGGGTATTTTAAAACGCAGTGGGAGTCCACCAAATCCATCCAGTGCTCCGGTGAATGTCAGCGAACACAGGCCACGAGAGAGAGAGAGCAGGACTGGAGGAGGTGGAGGCCATGCTCTCGACGGCTTTAACACATGAACATGACAGACACAGCCGAGTATAAGAGGAAGACTGATGAGTGAATGTCTGTGGAGGATCACGAATGATGGGTGTGAGAGTGAGAGAAGAGTGTGAGACAGACAGTGACATCTGTTATTTCTCTCAGTCAGTGTCAATGATGTGAGTGTGTGTGTGTGTGTGTGTGTGTGTGTGTGTGTGTGTGTGTGTGTGTGTGTGTGTGTGTGTGTGTGTGTGTGTGTGTGTGTGTGTGTGTGTGTGTGTGTGTGTGTGTGTGTGTGTGTGTGTGTGTGTGTGGATTCTGCTGCCACCTTGAATCCAACAACTGCAATTACACTCAAACGGTTACGGTATATTATTAGTGCCCTATGAAATCCATTTTATTTTTTCCCAAATACAGTTTTCATTTTCCTGGATTGCGCTTTATGGTTACATAAAACGTCTAATTAAGTGAAATCATGAAACCTATACAATTGAAGAGAAATGGGTAACCCTTTATTGTGCTCTTTAATTGTATCTAATATTTAATGCTTTTTAAAATAATGTATATTTATGTAGCAAATGAGAATCATGACCATATTTCGAAACAAAGGCCTTGTTAATGATTTTCAGTTTTGTTCAAGGTAAATAAAGCAAAAGTTTTTCAATAAGGGGAGAATATGTAAAAGTATGGTATTTCGTGTGAAAGGCACAATAATTATCATGATAATAAACAGCTTTGTTGACATGACATGATTAGATTTAGATGCTAATTATCATATATTAAGTTGAGTGTCCACCTTAGAGATAATCACCATATTTATAATGAAACCATCATATCTAAAAATATGATATTAATCATATCATATAATAAAATATCATTTATTTGTTACAACAGTAAAGCTTTATTGACCTTTACTTTTTGAAATAATTTGTTTCTGTATTTTTAAAATGAACATATTTTAATTACAACTTATCAAACATTTGAAGGATAAATATGCAGAAATAAGCCAATAATTAATGGTTAACTGAATGTACAGTAAATGTCTTTTAGGGCAGCACTTTACTTCGATGGTCCACTTTAGACATTCTACTAACTATAAGTAACTATAATTAACCCCGATTAGAGTATTAGTAGACTGGTAGTGTTCGGGTTAGAATAAGTTGACATGTAGTTACATATCGTCAGTATAATGTCAGCATCACAATTAAGAGTTAGCAGATATTAAGCAGACAGTCTAATAAGAGTTAGTTGACATGTAGTTATTAAAAGTGTGTAGAATTTCTAAAGTGGACCATCGAATTAAATCGTCACCCCTTTTAGCCATTATTTACAATTGTGTGTAGTAAGTGATTTACATAATGTTATATTTCTGTGATTTACCATATATTAAGTAAACTAAACAATAAGAATCATTATGTTTAATTAGTGTTTGTTTTACAGATTTGATTGCTGCAAATGTGTAATAAAGACAATTTAAGTATTATCCTAATACTAAGTTAAAAGTATATCCATATTAATTATTGATTTGCATGGCACTTATTAAGCGATGTTCAAGTTTATCCAGCAGAGTTTGTGTAAGTTACCACTAACACAGCACCACTAAAGACAATTTCTGGTGTGTTCATGCTTAACTACTACATAAATAACGGCTAATATAAATATAATATAATAATATACTGCATACATAATGGCTGAAATCGCATTTCTTGGCTTTATGCAAATTCTGTGAATGAGGGCTGTGAGGTGTCTGATAGCTATCTGTACTCATCATCTGCTGTGTGAGAGCGAGGAGTAATGTGCAGTCGGTGCTGGCACGTTAGACAGGGTTCAATCGCCCGCTCGTGTCGCCGCAAACCAACTCCCAGAGGCAACTCTCATTAAAAATAAACGACTTCAAGTGGCTTTGTGGCTCACTCGGAGTAAACAGTGCTGGATTGTTCTCGGCCCTGTCAGAGTCTTGCTCCGAACCCTTTGAAAAACACTGCAGTTCTGCTGGTTTACCAATAAATTACCATATTTTCCACAATATAAATCATGTCTTTTTAAATCCTCCGAAACACGCTGCGACTTGTATTCCAAAGCAAAATATATTAACGTCAAGCACGCAAGACGTATTCGGATTTGTGCCGAATAAGAGAGTTACGTAAGTGTATTTGTATGGTGTATTTCCCACACACCAGTAGTCAGGGGTGGCGCGTTTATAATGAATGACTCCATAATTTACGTTTGTTTTAAATTTGAAGTGAAAAGTGAAAAATAGCTTTGATAAAAATACAATATACATGCATCACCAGTTGAGTCATTTTTCAGTATTGTGAATCAAATTGCATGCTGTCGTGAATGTGCTGAATTGACACATTTATCACCGCCTCTGATAGCAGAGAAGTGATGAGTGAAAACTGGAGGAATCTGCCACATATTACATGCATTCATGTGCATGAAGAGCATTTTCAGCTCCACCGGTGCGCCAGAGATCATGTTTCTACATGGAGCAAAGCTTCACAGGAGAGAAGAAGCTGGGATGAGTCCTCCTGAACTCCCGAACAGACGGCGGAGAGGTCATGGGATCTGAATCAGCACGCCATCCCTGCATCTCACTCACAGTTACAGTGACACTGGCCTGATAATGCTGCCAAACTACAGGACATGATGAGTAAAGATCATATTCAGTCCCTATGAAGGACACAATCTGTAAAAAAGCTCAGCACTAAGGCGTTTAATGATGAATAAAATCATGTGTTTTGGACCTTCTGCAGCCGAGCCGACGCCAGAACCTGTGTCGGTGTTATAATGAACATAATGATCTGAAGTCAGTCACTGAACACATGAAACAATGACCTACAAACACCAACAACAGGCAGAATTACACAATGATTTGTTTTGTACAATTTCTTTACAAAACAAGAATGACACTCAACTCAATGAGGGCTGTCAAATAAAAATGTGAATTTCGAATATTCCTTGAATAATTTTTTTTTTTTAAACTGCATTTTTGAATGCAAAAACATTTGTGCATTAGGTCACTGATGCACTTACACAGTTTTATGCACTACTGTAACCTAATTTTCCTTGCATGCACATTAAGGAAATGATCATTTATTTAAGAACAATCGTTTTAAAAGTTTGGTTTATATTTGCTTATTGTGCTCGCTTGCGCCCTCTTGTTGTCATAGGAGACAATATTGTACTTTTTCTCTCTAACAATAAGTATTGCCTTCAGAATTTGAATATCTTATAATATGAATCAAATTTAGCTAATATTTAAGAAAGAAATTCGCATGTATCTTTTCAGCCATGTTGACAGCCCTACTCTCTACTGTTTGTGATTCACTGCAGTAGGTTACATGACCCATGTTTACATTACAGTATAAAATTGGCCTGTAGGTTCATCGAGTTTTGGTGGTGTTTGTGTCTAAGTAATTTGAAAGATGTTGTCATTGAATGTGTGTGTCAAAGCAATGATCCACAGTTTATCCCACATAGACTGATGTTGTGCTCACTGTGTCTGCTTTGTCTGTGTTGTGTTTGTTTCAAGCCTTTATTTGTTATAATTGTGATGATTGTGGCTTACAGATATGAAAACCTTTTCACAATTTTCTAATTTTGAATTTGGGGTTTTCATAAGCTGTACGCCATAATCATCACAATTATTACAAATAAAGGCTTGAAATATCTCACTTTGCATGTAATGAGTCTATATAATATATTAGTTTCACCTTTTAAGTTGAATCACTGAAATAAATGAACTTTTGCACGATATTCCCGAGTTTCACCTGTGTGTTTGTGCTGTGCTTGAACACATGTCTCTGTGTTTGTTTGTGTTGGCCATGTGCTCCTGTGTTCCTGCTTGTTCCCTCGTTTAGTCGAGTCCTCGTTTGTCTGAGTGTGTTCACCTGTTCCTCTTGTTCTCTGCTTCCTTTATATGTGTTCTCTTGCCCTCATGTTATGCCAGTTCTTTATATACTTTCTATAGCCCTATTCGGACGGGATTAGTTTTAGCAAGGGTAGATGGAGTAATGCAATTTTACCACAGGACGTCTGTAATAGAAATGGCCAATTCGCACGGGATAAGATATCTCAGTAAAACTAGCAGAAGTGGGACGGGTGGGAGTGAGTCCTCCCTCATAGATCCGTAACACACTGTCTGAAGAGTGTAGAAAAAGTGACCCAAGCATTGAGAAATGCGTTCTAGCAATTGTAAAAAAGGATTAATGGATAATACATGCTGTTACCTATTGGAGTAAAATAGCCCAAGCTTTAAAATAATAATTATTTTAAATTAAAGATGTGTTAATATATGTGATCATTTGCTGCCATGGTTTATTTGTAAGTTCCTTTTGAATTTCCCTCAAGTATCATTTTTTGTTTTGTTTGTTGTTTCAGTAGTTTACTAGCTTTGTTATTATTATTATTTTTAAAAATTCTAATCACGAAAAAAAAAGTAGTTTCTCACCAGGAGTCGATGTTCGTCCGTATCAACCACTGTGGCCACTCGGATCAGAACAGGGTTCCTCTTGTCGATCACCTCCAACTTCATATTGGGCTGAAAACTGTGAGGAGGTTTCTGCAGAGAGAGAGAGAGAGAGACTTTGACCCCTTTTATTTAAAACAATTAAGGGTTTAAAACAAATTATAAACAAAATACATTTTCAAAACAATTAAACAAACACATAAACATTTTACCAATTAAAAACTAAGCTTCCATACGCACTCACAGTCACCAGTGCCTCTCTCACACCTCATCTCCATTCAAACAAATAGGTATACTCAATGGTCACTCGAGCTTCTATTAAAGACCTCAACATAGCTTCCATATCAACTTCCTTTCCTGCATTTTTACACTGGTGGGATTTCAGAACTTAGCTTGGCCAATTAAAAAATTGGCAAGAACACATTGTTGTTGCCATGACCTTCTATATTAATATCCTAATATAAACAAGGTATTGTTATATGAAAACCCTAATTTTGTGATCAACTTTTCAAGTATTACAAATAAAGGACCAAGTCTTGGACATTCAAAAAACATATGGAAAACAGTATCATGAGCATTACAGAAGGGACATAATAAAACAATCTTATTAAATTTTGAAACCAAGCTATTTGAGGCGATAGCACAATGCTCTCCACTGAAGATCTCCACATCGCTTGGAGAGAGGAGGTTTATACAATACTCTCCATGATGGATGTACTTCTTCACAAATAGAGATCTTAGCCCTCCATTTAGTATCTGTTTTTCCTTGCAAATGCCCAACATGCACAGATTTAACACATATATAATAAAGATTTTTCTTTGCCACATTTTGAAAAACCAAATCCCCATTTCCCTTCAACAATGTAGTCTGGTTTACATTACCCCCGACTCCTCCATCTTTAGGGGTCACGTTCAGCTCAGGGAAGTTCTGAGGTGTAAAACCGTGTACCAGGGCTGCGTTTATACAGGACACTAATGCAGGGGGCAAAGCATCCCTAATACACTTAATCATCCTATCCACAGTTCTCAGAGGCTATAATGTAACCTGTGCAGCAAGTGACAACACAGTTCGCCACTGACATTGCGTCAAATCAATTACATCCATTACTTTACTGACCCCAGCATTTAAAAAATGTGGAACAAAACAAGACAAATTAGATGGTAAAAAACAAAGGTTCTGCAATCCCATAGTGCACATCTTCTGTTCTTGAAAAGTTTAAATATTTCCATGATTTAATTACTGACATGTAAAAGTTAGGGAAGAAACAGTGAGCCTTTTCCTCAAAGAGCTTTTCCATTAAAAACACCCGTTTATCTAGGCAAGTTCGGTCCTAGAGAGCCGCTGTCCTGCAGAGTTTGGCTCCAACACTGAAAAAAACCTCTCCTGCCTATAGCCTTAGTAATCCTGAAGACATTGATTAGCTTCTTCAGGTGTGTTTAATTAGGGTTGGAACTAAATTCTGCAGGACAGCGGCTCTCTAGGACCGAACTCGCTTACCCCTGATCTAGGCCTATCCCACCTAAAGCTGTTAGTATAGACAACCCAAATGTAACCCATCGTAAAGGAGCAGAACATTACAAAAGCCTCTATAATGTTTGTAATCTCATAGCTAGTATTGGAAGGTAAAGTATACCAGGAATAAGCCAATGGTTCCAAAAAAATCCAGAAAAGCCTTTTTGAATGTTAATAAGCAATTTCTTAGGAGGATTTAAAACAGTTACTCTGTGCCATAGCATTGAGGCAGCCAGATTATTGATAATCAAGCCCCTCCCTCTGAAAGACAGCTGTGGGAGAAGCCATCGCCATTTCTGCAATCTGCCGATCACCCGATCTGCTAATCCCTATCAATTCTTTTCAGTGTATTGGGCTGTCCCAAAAAAACACCAAGTACTTTAAATCCATCTTGAACCCATTTACACTGTTATGGCAATCGAGGTGGTCCTATATCCACCCAGTCTCCCAACAACAAGCATGCACATTTATACCAGTTAATACGAGAAGATGTAGTAGGGCTGGACGATTTTGGCTAAAATCATAATCGCGATTAATCAAACAAGTTACCTCGATTACGATTATTGAACGATTATTTTTTTTTTTTAAATTGTCATATGTCACTGGCAAGGCCTATACTGTAAATATGTATGTATTTTTTTTCTAATGAAAGTGTGCATAATCCTTTCTTTGTGGTTCTAAAATAAGGAAACACACAGATAGCTTTTAATGCTTATTAAATATTTCAAAATATTAAAAAAATTTGAAAATAGTTATTTTTGTAAACAATAAATTATTGTAAATATTGCCATATATATTGTAAAATATAACTTGTATAAAACTAAAAAACGAATCCTTTTATATTTTGTAGCATTTGTAAATGCTTTTGTTATCGGAGGCTGCTTTGTGGAGTGGAGGCACTTGTTGCTTGGCGTTTGTCAGTCTCTCTCTTTTTTTCGCGTGTTTCTTTGGTACAAGTGGCTCCTGTTGCTGAGTTGACTCAGTATTTGAGGAATCAGAGAGTGCGTTCACACACAACCCGCAAAGACATGTGACATGTCTCAGCAGCATCTATAGTTTGCTGCGATTTCTCTCTCTCTCTCGAGAAACCACGCTTGTGCATTTTTTTGTCTCTGACTCGATCATAAACTAGCGCATTACGTAGCGTTTCACGCTGGTGAACGATCCCGGCTCAAGCACCATCATTACAACAACGGCTTTTGTTCACACAGCATGTGTTTCGGGACAGAACACGGCAATGTTACTACCGTATGTCCCCAACCTGGCACCAATCCCGGGTCGTGTTTGCGTTCACACAGAAGGTGTTTGTTCTGGTAATTTCCCGGGATCAACGCAGTGTGTGAAAGGGTGAATCTTGCTTCAATGTCGCAGACTGGACGGGGTGGAGTTACGTGACTACACACGCGGTAATATGTTTTAAGGGGAAAGTACATTAACACACAGTGGGCGGAAATACTAATAGGATTCAAAAACCGAAATAACCGACATGGTAAAATGAAGTCGGTTATAGGCTCTGAATTTCGGTTTCGATTATTTTTCGATTAATCATCCAGCCCTAAGATGTAGCTTTCTGAAACTTGTTCAAACAATAAATAAGTTCAGTAACATCATCAGTGCTCTTGATTATTACTGTCACATCATCTGCGTAAGCTGTGAGTTTCACCAGGGCTACTTCTGGGAGACCTGGGACACCAACACCACACAGCTGTTTCCTCAGCATAACCAGCAGAGGTTCAATGGGAATAGAGTACAGAAGATCAGACAGAGGACATCCTTGTCTTATTCCCCTTGTCACAGAGAAAGGTCTAGTTAAAGACCCATTAATACGTAACATACTGTAAATGCCACTATTACTCTTAGCAATGTAAACTCGGTCAAGTCTCGCTCCAGACAAAGAATTTGAGTTAGCTTTCAACCAGGTATACTGTTTAACCCCAGGAAAACTCTCTCCATAAATCAACAAAATCATGAGAAACAATAACACTTTTAAAACTTCTGCAGAACTTGAGTGAGGTTCATCGTGATTCCTATCAGGGTTTATAGTGCAGTTAAAATCACCTCCTACTACCACTTTATCCTGTGGGCAGTGGCGGTTCTAGAGGGGGGGCCAGGGGGGCCAGTGCCCCTGTGACAAAAAGCTTGGCCCCCCTTGTGGCCCCCCTAAATGTGGAGTTTGAAATAATTTTTACAAAACTGTTTTTTGCTATCGTTGTATGCGTATTATTTTTTATTTTTCTATCTTTGTGGATTTGCATTTTCACGTGACAATTCGCATCACATTCGCGGGAATCGCGGCAGAATAACGTCTGTCTCCTGGACGCGAGAGAGGAGAGAAGAAAGTTGGTAAATGTCAGTTCAGTTGTAAGTTCATTCTTTATGTGCGTATGGGGTGTGCGATGTGTATTGTCTATTATGATATTGTAATCATTGTTTTAACTACCATAAAACTTTAAATAAGAGCCCGGGCTTTTATTTTCCCAAATCGTCGAACTGCACCGGCTTGTATTTGAGACAGGCGTCTATATGAGACAGGCCTTTATAATTTAGTGTTGAGATGTTGTTCATTGAGATGTTGTTCCTAGAGTCTCTAATCTCTAAAAATCTCCAAATGCTCCACGTGAAACTGCGGTCTTCCAACCTTTTACTATCGTGTCAATTGATTTTGATTAATATGCGCGAGGGATAGAGAGCAAGACAGCGCTCGTGTTGTTTGAAGACGTGAGTGCGCGCGCGCGGCCGGGGCGCTCTCTCTTTCTCTCTCTCTCTCTCTCTCTCTCTCTCTCTCTCTCTCTCTCTCTCTCTGCTCGTTATGCACTGTCAAGCGCAGCAAGCGGACGCTCTGACGGGTTTTAGAAGATAAAATACAACCCGAAACTAAAAAACAGACCCGGCTTCTATTTGAGACCGGCCTTTATTTACCCAAACCTGTCGCCACACCAGGCGTGTAAAAGAGACAGGTGTCTATTCGGGACTCGGCTATTATTTTAAGTTTTACGGTATGTACGAGGCACTGTGAGCTGACATAGCATTTGTCTATCGTCCTTTCACTGCTGTGTGCAGTTCATAGGTAGCCTATGTCCCCAAATTAGTTTTTGTCTTATATTTATATCATATTATGTTCTTATATTAGAATATCACATCAGCAAGAGTGCCGTTTTCCCGTGCACAATTGCAACTGTGATATTTATGTTATACAACAGTTAAATTAACAATAAGTTAACATTGGGAGTTACTTTTTAGACACAATATTGTCAATATTGTTTGTTTTCCCCTTATTTCGCCGACTAGAATTTCATAATGAAACGTGAGTCTCAATGCAACACAGCGATGATTTCTTGACTGAAATCCGCGTTTTGAACGAATCACTTGCTTCTTTCCCGAATCAGCCGTTTGAACAAATCGGTTGAATGAATGAATCCCTCTACAGGGACTTGCCGCCGCCTACTGGCAGTTTTAGTTTCATATTTAAAGTATCCTTTAATTAAAACGTTAAAATTAGAAATCATTTCATATTTAAATATTGATTTGAAAAAAATCTCATAGCTTTATTTATGCAATTGTAAATGGAGTGTAAATATATTAATGCCACTTCTGTGTCACCTCTGCACTGCAAAGATGGATTTTGATTGAATTAATTAATTTGACTGGTAACAGTGGTACTGTATAATTATTGTATAATTAAGTATTATTGTATAAATAAGTATAATTACTGTATAATTTGAATGTTAGTATTTGACATAAAAGGTGATGCATAACTCTAAATAAGTTTAGAAAAAATGTCCATATATAGGTGAAAATGCCCCTGGAAATCAATTTAAGGTGGCAAATATTGCCCCTTAATTAAAAAATGTATTTCTGTCACTGCTGTGAACTGACCACTGCATAGAATATGAAAAATATGAATATCTTCGTGAGTCAGCTGTCAACAACAGGCCTAAACCAGCCATGGCACCAGCACAAAAACACAATCAGTAAAATATTATCTAATTATTAACAAAATGTTGAAAATATTGAAATATATTTTTGTCAATATTGCACACCCCTAATGTACGGTATTAATTTTGATTTCTTTAGGTCTTAAAAAGCCTTAAATTGGACTTTAAAAAGTGTGCAGGAACCCTGTAAACGGTTAGACATATCAAGTCAGTTATTTTCAGTAAATTAATTAATAAGCTTCTTGGTCCCCATTGCTTTTGCTCTTTAGTTCTCAAAATGAAGAGAAAGAAGGACATCATGTCTATTACAGTTACTGTGACTAATACTGAATATGTAATGCAAATGTAAAAATATAATGGAAATGCAAATACATTGTTGAATGATTATAAACACGGTATTTTGCCTGTTAATGCCTGCAGCAGTGCAGAAAATGATATGACAACAATAAGGTCTAAATGTAACTGGCCCCTCTAACAGTACAACTGGCCCCAGCTTGGCCCCCCCAGTTGAAATGGGCTAGAACCGCCACTGCCTGTGGGCACTGTGACAAGGCATCTGATAACTTTTTTAAAAATATCTTACGCTCTTGTCCAACATTTGGAGCATATAAATTAAAAAAAGAAAACATTACTTGTCCAACCATAATATCTGCTCTTAAAAGTCGACCAGGTATTATCTCAAACATAATTGGTTGATTACAGACACATGGAGAAAAAGGTATTATTAGTCCTGTGGCTCATTAAAATATTTCCCTTCCAATCACAATTCCACTGTGTCTGATTCTGTAAGTCAGAATGAGTCTCTTGAAGCATAATAATGTCTGCCTTTTTCAATTGTAAATAATTAAACAGAGCAAGTCTCTTTGTTGTGTTCCGACATCCGTTGATGTTAAAAGATCCAATATTTATGAATGCCATGGAAAAGATAATTCTAGGGTATCCAAAGACCCCCCAAAAACAAACTGACAATCATGACCCCATACAGTTATAGTCCTTAAAACAAGCTTTTAATCTTTTTTTTAACAGTGCTCATATGTTTTTTGAGCCTGTAGCGTTTAGGCTGATCAAGCTCCTCCAGTGTTGCCTTTCTTATTGCCATTGTACATGAGTCAACGAAAAGTTGTAAATCTGGGAAGTATTTTTTAAAGTTTTGGTCTTCGCTGGTTAAAGGTATTGTTTATAAAATCATTAATTTGGCGAAATGTATAATAGGGATGTTTTAATTTAAGATTCTGACCATTCTCTGCAGAACTTCCCTGAGAATTTGCAATAGTAAGATTTTCTGCTTTATCAGAAGTGTCACTATCAGAATCCATTGACTGCAACTCACTTCCTTCTATCAGCACAGCAGCATCGCCCCGAGACAGGCTAAATCCTGATGCCTGCGAATTGACCGACTCTCCGCCAGTAGGGGTGTAAATCGGTGCCTTAATGACGATTCAATACGATACCGATTTCTTAATCGAACGATTCGATTATTTTCGATACTTCAGAATTTCCCGCGATACGATTCGATTCAATACTAGATATTTTTACATGATATCTATTAAGTTTCAAATAAATCAAAAAAATTTTTTTTGCCTTTTATTGAGGATACAGAAACAGCATTTGTGGCGAGCAGGACGCGGCCGACGTGAGAGAGCGGCGCGAGGCCGGTGGCTGAGTGTTAATGAACGTCACCTGTGAAACGCACCAGTCTCTCAATCTTCAGCGTCATCGCTCCTCTTTTTATGCTTCCGCTCCTCCGTGAGAGATGGGAGACCGGTGCGTCTCACAGGTGACGTTTATTAAGACTCACACCATCGGCCTCGCGCCGTTCTCTCACTTCGACCGCGTCCTGCTCGCCACAGTATTCTATTCACATAATGGGAATGTTACACTATAGCAGTCTTCTTTGCAAACGGCAACATCTCTTACCACTGCTCCATCTGTTTTCCTGAAGCCAAAATACTTCCACACCCATGACTTGACGCCGACTGGAGTGTGTAACATTTCACTTTCATTGCCAGCTCGCTCTGATGGTTCCATCGCTCTTGAAAGTCAGACTCAAAAATGTGTGTGAACATAGATAGACTGTGAAACGTAAGTAACGCGTGTGAAGCGGTGTGAAGTAGAAGACAATAATGAGGTTCGCGCCACCCACAGTTTAGGAATAGGTTGTACGCATATTTCGGAGCTGATGCTGAAAATAGACAGGCGGCAAAATAAACACATTAATCGATACTCTTGCGGACGCATCGATGCATCGTCAGCTGTATAATCGATGGATCGATACGAATCGATTAATATTTACACACCTATCCACCAGGCATCACAAGTTCAGCCCGCTCTACTGGTCGCTCCGGTTCGACGATCGCGCCGGCGGGGTCTGCGTCAGACCGCTCTACTTCAGCCCGCACTGTGCTGTCATTTCACTTACAACAATATTCAGGGTAGAATGTATCAAATCGTCAACGTGCTCATTCATTATAGGCTCCTTAGCACTTTATCCATCTTTAGATAGAGAAGACGCTTCAATTCCCTGATTAATTCTGTCACTGTTATTTTTTTCACCTTCATTATTTAGTGGAGCAGAAGGCAATTGTTCCGTAGAAGGATTACGCTCATTCACATTAGTGTTAGCCGCATCATTCATTGAACATACCAGTTTTGCATGACCGTGCTTCCCACAAGTAAAACACCTCATTGATTCAGTACTGATATAAATGGTATAATCTTTACCCAGCACAGTGGTTTTCGCTGACGTATTCAAAGATTGAAATTCGGGGTTCAGGATCATGGAAGTCTGACGTCTAAATGACATCACATGTTTGAGTTCTGGATTATTTAATCCCAAAGGGATCATTTTAATCGGCCACACTAGTTTACCATAGCGTCCTAACAAACGCTCTAGTGAATCTTTAGAAATGAATGGGGGCACATTCGAAAGGATAACCTTCTTATAAAGATTCGACAACGGCAAAACTGATAAAAAAGTATCTCTAACGGATAAACCAAATTCAACTAAATGCTGAACCAAAGAGACTTCTCTCAAAAAGAAAACAACAGCCTTGTTTATCTTAGATGCGGACACAATGTTACAAGCACCAACTTCGCAGATAATCCCAATTAGACAGTCCTCAACTGTTATGGACTCATCAGGTAGATATTTGCACCTGTGTTGAGCGGTTAAAGGAGCACAACCATCTGAATTTGTCCCCAATTTCCACCCTTAGGTGATAAAATCGGCGACAATTAAATATACACTAAACCAAAATATCTAAACAAAATAAAGGAAAGAGGAAAAAAGTAACAACTCACTCAAACACGCCCCAACTCGCTCAGACGCTCACACACTCCTCAGACACCCGCACATGCGCACACGCACAGAGAGAGAGAGAGAGAGAGAGACTTGTTCAGGCAGATGTTTCAGCATGACACCACTCAGAGCCAGGGGTCTCTGCTGATTTTTGACAACACACACACACACACACACTCACCACTTTGAAGGCTCGAGCAGGAGCTGGTAGTGAGCTGGTCTCTGCCAAGTATTTCTCCCAGGAGAAGTTCTTCTCATCAGGGTAATCTACAGTACAGAGGGTGTGAGGCGGGTCAGATTACTCATTACACATGCAGTCTTCCTTCACTGCTGTCTGACTGAGAGACTGAAGAGAGCATTCTGGTATTGCTCAATGCTCACTGGTTTTTATGGTGCACTGTGGGATAACTGTGACAATGGGACAGTGCTAAAGATGGAACTGGATAATATTCTGAATGATCTGATCCAATCTGACCTCTGACCTGTAATGCTGCCTGATCATAATCGCACACTGTTCATCGCTGGCCAGAGGAGAACTGAGCGACTGAGCCTGGGTTCTCACAAGGGTTTTTCTCCATTCTGTCACTGACGGAGTTTGGGTTCCTCCCACTGTCGCCTTGGCTTTTGGCTCACTTAGTTGTTACGGCCCTGCCCCCGTTTTTAACTTCAGTTTCTTTTGTGAGAATTCTAGGACTAACTCCTCCTTGGTGGGTGGGATTGCCTTAATGAAAATCAGCTGCACCTGTGGCAACCTATTTAAGGAGCTCCTGGATTTTGTCTAGTTCTCTCTCATTTTCTCTGATGAAACCCTTCTTGTGAAGTGTCCTCTTTATATTATGACTTTGAGCCGGGTCGTAACACAAATTGGGGGCTCGTCCGGGGTCAATAATGGTTTGGAGTTGGGGTTTTGTTTGTTGAGTGGAGTGTGGAAAAGATTATTGGATTATTAGAGATCTCCGGTTAGGTGGAGTGTTCCAGCTGGTTTGCTAGTCAATCCCTCCAACGGCACACTGTTTGTTTTTTTAGTTTGTTTTGTTAGTTTGTTATTTTTGAAGGTATCCCGGGTGGAGATTTAATCTCGGTTGGGGGTACGCTATTCAGGGCCTGGTTTTTGTCAGGTGACATGAAGTTCAGCGTCTAAAGTGGCCCTGAGCCTGGTAAGCCTTTGATGATTAGATTTTTTTATTTTTTTTATTTAGTGTACCGGAGTTGTTGACTAAGTAAGATGTATATCCATGTACATTGGTGTGGTCTTTAGCATCAATGATTAGTTTTGGGGAACTTATCCCCACTTTCTTCAAGTTGGTAAGTAATTGTTGCATCAGTAACCAAAGTTGTTAGGCATGCTGATGTTTTAGGGAACATGCAGTTTTACGATAGCATAGGTTGTTGAATGCGGTCAGCAATTTAGGCATGATTTTGTGACTTGTGAGTTGGTCTCTTTTTGTAGAAGTACTATATTGTTAGCATGTTACCTGTTGAGAGGGTTTTGTTAAAGCTTTTTTAGTGTTCGGGTAAGTGACTGACTTGTTAACTGGTGTAGATTAAATTACCATTTAGTAGCTTTGTGGAAATGGAGTTGTCCATAAGTTTAAATCCTTTTTTTCGGTGAAATGTATTTGAAAGGATACTGTGGTGTTTTTGGGAACTCCTAAGGTAGCTACTGTTTTGAAGGTGTAGAGTTTAGCCATGGCTTCTAATGTGGAAGATTTTTTGATAGAACCTTCTGAGGAAACACTTGAAAAGTGCACTAAAGAGCAGCTGTTGCTGGTTGCTGCTCATTATGATATTGAGATCACTAGTGCAGATAAAAAACTTAAAGAGTCAGTCTTAAAAAGTTTAAAGGGCACTTTAGAGGAGAAAAAGTTTTTGGTGAAAAATTACAGACGCCAGGTATTGTTGTTGGCAGTGAAGTTAAGCTGAAAGAGATGGCGTTACGAGAAAAAGAGTTAGATTTGGAGTTGGTGAGGTGTTGTCTAGAACAAGACTAAATCGCTTTGAAAGGAAAAGAGCTGCAGGGAGAACTTGAGTTGAGGAAATTGGAGGGACAGGAAAAGGAGTGCGATCATGCTTTTGTCCTTAAAGTTGGAATTGGCAGGTAGGAGACCTGAGGGTCAACTGCCTGTTTCACCTTTTGTGGTTCCTTCAGAGTCTTCTCAAAGGGTTGAGCAAGTTTTTGATATTGGGAAGCATATTAGAATGGTTCCTCCTTTTTCTGAAAAAGAGGTAGAGAAGTATTTCTCCGACTTTGAGAGTTGCTACTATGCTGAAGTGGCCAAAAGAGGTTTGGACTCTTCTTTTAAAATGTGTGCTTATGGCAATGTAAGGCTCAAGAAGTTTATTCAGCACTTAGTTTAGAACAGAGTGCTGTATATGATACTGTTAAAACCCCCATCCTTCATGCTTACGAGTTAGTGCCCGAAGCATATCGTCAACGTTTCCGAAATTACTTTAAAAGTGAAAAGCAGACGTTTGTAGAGTTTGCTCGGGAAAAAGAGAACATGTTTGATAAGTGGTGTGCTTCTAAGCAGGTTGAGACTAAAGAACAGCTTAGGGACTTGGTTCTTTTAGAGGAGTTTCAGAATTGTGTCCCAGAAGGTCTAGTTACTTACTTGAATGAACAGAAGGTTTCCAAATTGTGTGACGCAGCAATTATGGCTGATGAATTTGCTTTAACCCATAAAGGGTTATTTGGAAACCGTGACCTAGAAAGAAACTACTATCCATGTCAAAGTAAGGCTATGGCAGGATCTAGTTCTGTTCCAACCTCTCCTAGTAAACATGATACAGTTCCAGCTAGGGCAAATATTATTTGTTTTTATTGTAAAAAGCCAGGGCATAAGATACCTGAGTGCTTTGTTCTAAATAAGAAAGCTAAATCTACTAAGCCAGCAGGGTTAACTACTGCAAACCATTTTCCCTTTCTGTCAAGTGATGACTGATCACAATCTTTTAGTCTTTTTACAGTGGAGTTGTATACCAACCAGCGCTTGATGAGATTGAGTTTGTTTCCGCAGTCATATTCTCTACAAATTCATCACATTAGAGGAAAAGAGAATATTTTAGCTGACGCACTGTCACTGTCTCAGTCTGATACAGTTTTGCTATTATATATCTGAGTCTGATACTGTTTTGCTATTATATATCTGAGTCTGGTACTGTTTTGCTATTATATATATGAGTCTGATACTGTTTTACTTTTATATATTTGAGTCTGATACTGTTTTGCTATTACATATTTGAGTCTGATACTGTTTTGCTATTATATATTTGAGTCTGATACTGTTTTACTATTATATATTTGAGTCTGATACTGTTTTGCTATTATATATTTGAGTCTGATACTGTTTTGCTATTATATATTTGAGTCTGATACTGTTTTACTATTATATATTTCAGTCTGATACTGTTTTGCTATTATATATTTCAGTCTGATACTGTTTTGCAATTATATATTTGAGTCTGATACTGTTTTGCTATTATATATTTCAGTCTGATACTGTTTTGCTATTATATATTTGAGTCTGATACTGTTTTGCAATTATATATTTGAGTCTGATACTGTTTTGCTATTATATATTTGAGTCTGATACTGTTTTGCTATTATGTATCTGAGTCTGATACTGTTTTGCTATTATATATCTGAGTCTGATACTGTTTTGCTATTACATATTTGAGTCTGATACTGTTTTGCTATTATATATTTGAGTCTGATACTGTTTTACTATTATATATTTGAGTCTGATACTGTTTTGCTATTATATATTTGAGTCTGATACTGTTTTACTATTATATATCTGAGTCTGATACGGTTTTGCTATTATATATCTGAGTCTGATACTGTTTTGCTATTATATATTTGAGTCTGATACTGTTTTGCTATTATATATTTGAGTCTGATACTGTTTTGCAATTATATATTTGAGTCTGATACTGTTTTACTATTACATATTTGAGTCTGATACTGTTTTGCTATTATATATTTGAGTCTGATACTGTTTTACTATTATATATTTCAGTCTGATACTGTTTTGCTATTATATATTTCAGTCTGATACTGTTTTGCAATTATATATTTGAGTCTGATACTGTTTTGCTATTATATATTTCAGTCTGATACTGTTTTGCTATTATATATTTGAGTCTGATACTGTTTTACTATTATATATCTGAGTCTGATACTGTTTTGCTATTATATATCTGAGTCTGATACTGTTTTACTATAATATATCTGAGTCTGATACTGTTTTGCTATTATATATCTGAGTCTGATACTGTTTTACTATTATATATTTGAGTCTGATACTGTTTTGCTATTATAAATTTGAGTCTGATACTGTTTTGCTATTATTTATTTGAGTCTGATACTGTTTTACTATTATATATCTGAATCTGATACTGTTTTGCTATTATATATCTGAGTCTGATACTGTTTTACTATAATATATCTGAGTCTGATACTGTTTTGCTATTATATATCTGAGTCTGATACTGTTTTACTATTATATATTTGAGTCTGATACTGTTTTGCTATTATAAATTTGAGTCTGATACTGGTTTGCTATTATATATTTGGGTCTGATACTGTTTTACTATTATATATTTGAGTCTGATACTGGTTTACTATTATAAATTTGAGTCTGATACTGTTTTGCTATTATATATTTGGGTCTGATACTGTTTTGCTATTATATATTTGAGTCTGATACTGTTTTGCTATTATATATCTGAGTCTGATACTGTTTTACTATTATATATCTGAGTCTGATACTGTTTTGCTATTATATATCTAAGTCTGATACTGTTTTGCTATTATACATTTGGGTCTGATACTGTTTTGCTATTATATATTTGAGTCTAATACTGTTTTACTTTTATATATTTGAGTCTGATACTGTTTTACTATTACATATTTGAGTCTGATACTGTTTTGCTATTATATATCTGAGTCTGATACTGTTTTACTATTATATATCTGAGTCTGATACTGTTTTGCTATTATATATCTGAGTCTGATACTGTTTTACTATTATATATTTGAGTCTGATACTGTTTTGCTATTATATATTTGAGTCTGATACTGTTTTGCTATTATAAATTTGAGTCTGATACTGGTTTGCTATTATATATTTGAGTCTGATACTGTTTTACTATTACATATTTGAGTCTGATACTGTTTTGCTATTTTATATCTGAGTCTGATACTGTTTTACTATTACATATTTGAGTCTGATACTGTTTTGCTAATATATATTTGAGTCCGATACTGTTTTGCTATTATATATTGGAGTCTGATACTGTTTTGCTATTATATATCTGAGTCTGAAACTGTTTTACTATAATATATCTGAGTCTGATACTGTTTTGCTATTATATATCTGAGTCTGATACTGTTTTACTATTATATATCTGAGTCTGATACTGTTTTACTATTACATATTTGAGTCTGAAACTGTTTTACTATTATATATTTGAGTCTGATACTGTTTTACTATTATATATTTGGGTCTGATACTGTTTTACTATTATATATTTCAGTCTGATACTGTTTTGCTATTATATATCTGAGTCTGAAACTGTTTTACTATTATATATCTGAGTCTGATACTGTTTTACTATTATATATCTGAGTCTGATACTGTTTTGCTATTATATATCTGAGTCTGATACTGTTTTACTATTATATATCTGAGTCTGATACTGTTTTACTATTATATATCTGAGTCTGATACTGTTTTACTATTATATATTTGAGTCTGATACTGTTTTACTATTACATATTTGAGTCTGATACTGTTTTACTATTATATATTTGAGTCTGATACTGTTTTACTATTTCATATTTGAGTCTGAAACTGTTTTGCTATTATATATTTGAGTCTGATACTGTTTTACTATTACATATTTGAGTCTGATACTGTTTTGCTATTATATATTTGAGTCTGAAACTGTTTTACTATTATATATTTGAGTCTGAAACTGTTTTGCTATTATATATTTGAGTCTGATACTGTTTTACTATTATATATCTGAGTCTGATACTGTTTTGCTATTATATATTTGAGTCTGATACTGTTTTGCTATTATATATTTGAGTCTGAAACTGTTTTGCTATTATATTTCTGAGTCTGATACTGTTTTGCTATTATATATTTGAGTCTGATACTGTTTTACTATTATATATCTGAGTCTGATACTGTTTTACTATAATATATCTGAGTCTGATACTGTTTTGCTATTATATATCTGAGTCTGATACTGTTTTACTATTATATATTTGAGTCTGATACTGTTTTGCTATTATAAATTTGAGTCTGATACTGGTTTGCTATTATATATTTGGGTCTGATACTGTTTTACTATTATATATTTGAGTCTGATGCTGGTTTACTATTATATATTTGAGTCTGATACTGTTTTGCTATTATATATTTGGGTCTGATACTGTTTTGCTATTATATATTTGAGTCTGATACTGTTTTGCTATTATATATCTGAGTCTGATACTGTTTTGCTATTATATATCTAAGTCTGATACTGTTTTGCTATTATACATTTGGGTCTGATACTGTTTTGCTATTATATATTTGAGTCTAATACTGTTTTACTTTTATATATTTGAGTCTGATACTGTTTTACTATTACATATTTGAGTCTGATACTGTTTTGCTATTATATATCTGAGTCTGATACTGTTTTACTATTATATATCTGAGTCTGATACTGTTTTGCTATTATATATCTGAGTCTGATACTGTTTTACTATTATATATTTGAGTCTGATACTGTTTTGCTATTATATATTTGAGTCTGATACTGTTTTGCTATTATAAATTTGAGTCTGATACTGGTTTGCTATTATATATTTGAGTCTGATACTGTTTTACTATTACATATTTGAGTCTGATACTGTTTTGCTATTTTATATCTGAGTCTGATACTGTTTTACTATTACATATTTGAGTCTGATACTGTTTTGCTAATATATATTTGAGTCCGATACTGTTTTGCTATTATATATTGGAGTCTGATACTGTTTTGCTATTATATATCTGAGTCTGAAACTGTTTTACTATAATATATCTGAGTCTGATACTGTTTTGCTATTATATATCTGAGTCTGATACTGTTTTACTATTATATATCTGAGTCTGATACTGTTTTACTATTACATATTTGAGTCTGAAACTGTTTTACTATTATATATTTGAGTCTGATACTGTTTTACTATTATATATTTGGGTCTGATACTGTTTTACTATTATATATTTCAGTCTGATACTGTTTTGCTATTATATATCTGAGTCTGAAACTGTTTTACTATTATATATCTGAGTCTGATACTGTTTTACTATTATATATCTGAGTCTGATACTGTTTTGCTATTATATATCTGAGTCTGATACTGTTTTACTATTATATATCTGAGTCTGATACTGTTTTACTATTATATATCTGAGTCTGATACTGTTTTACTATTATATATTTGAGTCTGATACTGTTTTACTATAACATATTTGAGTCTGATACTGTTTTACTATTATATATTTGAGTCTGATACTGTTTTACTATTACATATTTGAGTCTGAAACTGTTTTGCTATTATATATTTGAGTCTGATACTGTTTTACTATTACATATTTGAGTCTGATACTGTTTTACTATTACATATTTGAGTCTGATACTGTTTTGCTATTATATATTTGAGTCTGAAACTGTTTTACTATTATATATTTGAGTCTGAAACTGTTTTGCTATTATATATTTGAGTCTGATACTGTTTTACTATTATATATCTGAGTCTGATACTGTTTTGCTATTATATATTTGAGTCTGATACTGTTTTGCTATTATATATTTGAGTCTGAAACTGTTTTGCTATTATATATCTGAGTCTGATACTGTTTTGCTATTATATATTTGAGTCTGATACTGTTTTACTATTATATATCTGAGTCTGATACTGTTTTGCTATTATATATCTGAGGCTGATACTGTTTTGCTATTATAAATTTGAGTCTGATACTGTTTTGCTATTATATATTTGAGTCTGAAACTGTTTTACTGTTATATATCTGAGTCTGATACTGTTTTGCTATTATATATTTGAGTCTGATACTGTTTTACTATTATATATCTGAGTCTGATACTGTTTTGCTATTATATATCTGAGGCTGATACTGTTTTGCTATTATATATCTGAGGCTGATACTGTTTTGCTATTATATATCTGAGTCTGATACTGTTTTGCTATTATATATCTGAGTCTGATACTGTTTTGCTATTATATATCTGAGGCTGATACTGTTTTGCTATTATATATCTGAGGCTGATACTGTTTTGCTATTATATATCTGAGTCTGATACTGTTTTGCTATTATATATCTGAGTCTGATACTGTTTTACTATTATATATCTGAGTCTGATACTGTTTTGCTATTATATATCTGAGGCTGATACTGTTTTGCTATTATATATCTGAGGCTGATACTGTTTTGCTATTATATATCTGAGTCTGATACTGTTTTGCTACTCCTGTTTTAAGGCTGCTCTCAGCTTTGCTGTGTTGTTATGCAGGTATTATTTTCTTGTATTTCTGCTGTTCTGTAAAGCACTTCGGTCAGCCAGTGGCTGTTGTAAAATGTGCTATATAAATAAAATTAACTTGAACTAAACTCAGAATTTTCGGAGAGCTTCGACTTATACCACCTGACCGCTGAAAACTCATTTTGTCGTTGACAAATAAAGACGTAATTACGACATGGCGTGAATGCAGCATGATATAATCAAATAGGAAAATCAGTTAAATCCAACAATTATTGTAGTAATGTATGCCAAAATATTAAAAGATATAGAAATATGTGAGAGAGTAGGGAGAACGACTCGATTGCATCGTTCACAGTGTTTTATAGATGCGTTGGAGGATCGAATGTTGCACAACACCAGAACTCTACTGTTGCTCTCTACTCATTTTTCGCTTATTTCGAAGTATTACAAATGAATAATGTAATATTTGAATGCTGAATGATGTGACGGGTCAATCAGACTCGAGTGCAGACTCAGTGATTGTACTATTTCATCCCCTGCAGAAGTCTGGTCCAGTATAAACACAATTCATAGTCTAGAGTATGTCCTCGTGCTGTGATCCCTCTGAAGTTAGTCTGTATTTCATCTGGCACAGATGAAGATCTAAACCAGCACAACATCCTAACGTCTCGCATCGATGAGCTTAAAAACTAGGCTGGACTTTCCTCCTCCTTTCCTCGAGATCGTTCTAGTCCTTCTGAAGCAGTTGCATAATTGTGTTTCTAATCTGAATTTATTTGGGGGGAAATAAATGTAGTTTTTTCAGAAGATTTGTGTGGCTGCTAGTGTTGTGGACTGTGATGTCAGAGAGTTGCATCACCTGGAGGAGTGGTGAGTGTTCTGCCGTACTCCAGACACCAGCCGACCGGATGGATGTAAGGACTGGTTGCATCACACCTGCAGAAAACAAGATGCACACAAATGCATTTTAATGCAAAAACACATTATCCTCTATATTTCATGCATTATAAAAAAGATTAACATTCTGAATCATTAATATTGAGCCCTTTAAATGCACATTTTGAAAAAAAATATTTTTTTTTTGATAAACTTAAATTTCTGACAGGAAACACACATTGAAAGTAGTGCTGGGCAACGATTAATCACATCCAAAATAAAAGTTTGTGTTTACATAATTTATGTGTGTGTACTGTAATTATGTAATTATTTTGTATATATAAATACACACACATGCATGTATATATTTAAGATTTTTTTAAATTTATGTATAAAATATTTATATATAATATATAAATAATATATACATGCAAATATTTCTTAAATATATACAAGCACGTGTGTGTATTTATATATACAAAATAATTATACACAGTACACACACATATATTATGTAAACACAAACTTTTTTTTTTTTGGATCCAATTAATCATTGCCCAGCACTAATTAAAATACATCAAAATACTTTAACATGTTTTTGCATTCCATCTGCACTGGTGGGTCACACACCAAAAAAACAACTTACAAAACAATGGTGATAAATATAAACCAAACGATCATGTGCAGTTAAGATGGCAAAAAAAACTCATCCGCGTTTGAAAGAGAGGAGAAATGTATCCCTTGTTGATGTGAAAGACTGTGTCCATTAAATGTAAGCATCACAGATACTTCTTTTCCAATGAATTATTGTCTCAGAGCAAAAAAAAACCCATCAAAAATTGTATTTAGTCATGCTTCTGCGGTTCATTTTAACCTCGTAACATTCGTCGTGTGAGCACATCCAGTGAAATATTGATGTTTACACACGTTTACTTCATAGTTCTTTAGACGAAACCATCGTTTCTATTCATTAATGTGATCTGATGAGCATTAGTTGCTTCAAATGCTGTTTCAACAGATTTCAGTATATGATTTAGGATAAGCATTTGTGGCACTGAGTGTTGGATCTCTGCTCGGTCCTGAAGCAAGATCCAGATCACACATGGCCACCAACATCTGATGCTGAGATGGTATAGCAGAACTATGTGCCAAAACACACACCAATTCTTCTGAACTACTCTGAAACAAATGTGTGTATGTGATGTTTGTGAGGTGTTGTGGGCCGGTAATGCTGTGAGGAGACGTGCTGTCGCTGGCTCAGAGCGCAGAGCTGTCGGATCTGATCGTGTGACTGAACTGAAGAGCGGCAGAGAGAGAGTCCTTTTCTCCTGAGGGATTCATGAGCAGCTAAAAGCTTCCTGCCTGCTCTATACAGGGGTCTGACACACACACACACACACACACACACACACACTCACGCACGCACACACACCAGAGATGTTCACAAGTAATTTTTTGGAAGTCCGAGTCAAGTCTCAAGTCTTTTCAAGTGTTTGAAAACACGAAAAAAATGAGAAAATCGTGTCCGTGTACACGAATCAATAAATTTAAATTTTGTGACTATTTCACAAACTGCCGTGAGTGTGTTGCGACATCGTAAAGTCTAATCTTCTGCTACTTAACAGATCCCTCTAGCCCTCGGACCTGGTGAAATATTAACCTAAGTCTGTCACATTATATGGATACAACACTTTGTGATGGTTAGCTTGTTACTGTACCTGTGACGATATATGCTAAATTTAACGTCTCTTTCACATTAGCAAGTGACTGACCTATCTGGGTGTGTTTTGAGGTGCCTGATGGAGTTCGACGTTGTGGATCCGGCATAATTTATCTTGCGTGTAGCTGTTAGCTTACCGCCACTGTTTTAAAGTTATTAAAAACCAAAACCAATGACAAAAGGCACAACTCCGGGAGGACTTGGTGTCGCCATCGTCAATGCATTTTTTGATATGTGAGTGCGCGCGGCGCATGCACGTTGCACAGTATGGCAAAGGGCAGGGGACACGGCATGCAGCTCATCATACGCTTCCCCAACGTATATATGCGCCAATAAAAGAAAATAGAAATACATTCATGAATTTAGATTTAAAAAGCAATAATTGCATGAAAACAGGTTGTTGAGAAGTCTCGAAGCTCGAGTCTTTTGGGTTGAGTCGCAAGTCAAGTCTGTAGTCAGCTGTTTGTGCGACTTAAGTGCGACTCGAGTCCGAGTCTCAGACTCGAGTCCCCATCTCTGACGCACACATCAACTATTTATTTAAGTCCACTTAAAAGAAATGATTTACAGGGACATAAATACTATAGATGCAGTCAAATGCATGTACATAATCATGGGCCAGTGGCATACAGCAGATATTCACAATATTCAACGTCACTCAGTTGTTATGGATACAAGTAGCACCGTCTCCGCCAGATATGAGCTGCCTATGATAGCAGACAGAGCACAGTGCTTTGCTAGCTGTTTAGCCCTCTTTTTGGGCATCCCAAGTTGTTGAAGCCCTCTTACAACCAGCCTATGTGTGTGTCCTAAGCTGCCAAATATGAACACAATTAGTCGGCTCTGATAACCTAATTCTGAGATGATGTTTAGGAGTGGTTGATATTTAATAATCTTAGTCATAAAGGCTTCTTCCATACTAGAATCAAAGTTACATGCAACCTCCACAACGAATACCTCACTGATCTCCTCATTAACAACAATATCTGGTGTATTAGCAAACACATGAGAAAAGGTTTCAGAGTCATTACAATTCTGAAACATGGATGATTTTACACAAGAATGTTTGTACATTTTTACAGAAGATGAGAAAAGGCTTGATATGTCCTTCACTATAAGGTCCACTATTCTGTCGTGGCGTGCGATTATGTAGTGTGATGCAGACAATGAGGAACCCGAGTTGTAGGAAACCAGATAAAAAGATTGAGTCTGGTTGGAAGAACTTCTAGTCTGGCTTTTACTGTAAAAATAACAATGTCCTCACTGAGTGCAAAATTCTGAAGAAATGAGTGCAAGAGAGAGTGATCAGCAGAGGAGAGACACGCAAGTTTCCCCTGAAGGTTCAGTCCAGTCCAGTGTTGGTTCTGCTGATGTTGGTGTAGTCTAGGAGAGTTGGCCGGCACCTGTGGATGTTAGCGTGTGGCTGTGACCACCGCATGTGGCTGTTGCCCTGACAGAGGTCAGGGGGTCAGTAATGATGTCCTCGGAGACCCTCACAGTCCCAGACTCAGACCGCACACACTCCAGTGATACTCCAGTGCGGACACAGAGGTCAGGGGTCAGGAATGATGTCTTCGGAGACCCTCACAGTCCCAGACTCAGACCGCACACACTCCAGTGATACTCCAGTGCGGACACAGATGTCAGGGGTCAGGAATGATGTCCTCGGAGACCCTCACAGTCCCAGAGTCAGACCTCACACACTCCAGTGATACTCCAGTGCGGACACAGAGGTCAGGGGTCAGGAATGATGTCCTCGGAGACCCTCACAGTCCCAGAGTCAGACCGCACACACTCCAGTGATACTCCAGTGCGGACACAGAGGTCAGGGGTCAGGAATGATGTCCTCGGAGACCCTCACAGTCACAGAGTCAGACCGCACACACTCCAGTGATACTCCAGTGCGGACACAGAGGTCAGGGGTCAGGAATGATGTCCTCGGAGACCCTCACAGTCCCAGAGTCAGACCGCACACACTCCAGTGATACTCCAGTGCGGACACAGAGGTCAAGGGTCAGGAATGATGTCCTTGGAGACCCTCACAGTCCCAGAGTCAGACCGCACACACTCCAGTGATACTCCAGTGCGGACACAGAGGTCAGGGGTCAGGAATGATGTCCTCGGAGACCCTCACAGTCACAGAGTCAGACCTCACACACTCCAGTGATACTCCAGTGCGGACACAGATGTCAGGGGTCAGGAATGATGTCCTCGGAGACCCTCACAGTCCCAGACTCAGACCGCACACTCCAGTGATACTCCAGTGCGGACACAGAGGTCAGGGGTCAGGAATGATGTCCTCCGAGACCCTCTCAGTCCCAGAGTCAGACCGCACACACTCCAGTGATACTCCAGTGCGGACACAGAGGTCAGGGGTCAGGAATGATGTCTTCGGAGACCCTCACAGTCACAGAGTCAGACCGCACACACTCCAGTGATACTCCAGTGCGGACACAGAGGTCAGGGGTCAGGAATGATGTCCTCCGAGACCCACACAGTCCCAGAGTCAGACCGCACACACTCCAGTGATACTCCAGTGTGGACACAGAGGTCAGGGGTCAGGAATGATGTCCTCCGAGACCCACACAGTCCCAGACTCAGACCGCACACACTCCAGTGATACTCCAGTGCGGACACAGAGGTCAGGGGTCAGGAATGATGTCCTCGGAGACCCTCACAGTCCCAGACTCAGACCGCACACACTCCAGTGATACTCCAGTGCGGACACAGAGGTCAGGGGTCAGGAATGATGTCCTCGGAGACCCTCACAGTCCCAGACTCAGACCGCACACACTCCAGTGATACTCCAGTGCGGACACAGAGGTCAGGGGTCAGGAATGATGTCCTCGGAGACCCTCACAGTCCCAGAGTCAGACCGCACACACTCCAGTGATACTCCAGTGCGGACACAGAGGTCAGGGGTCAGGAATGATGTCCTCGGAGACCCTCACAGTCCCAGACTCAGACCGCACACACTCCAGTGATACTCCAGTGCGGACACAGAGGTCAGGGGTCAGGAATGATGTCTTCGGAGACCCTCACAGTCCCAGACTCAGACCGCACACACTCCAGTGATACTCCAGTGCGGACACAGAGGTCAGGGGTCAGGAATGATGTCCCCGGAGACCCTCACAGTCCCAGACTCAGACTGCACACACTCCAGTGATACTCCAGTGCGGACACAGAGGTCAGGGGTCAGGAATGATGTCCTCGGAGACCCTCACAGTCCCAGACTCAGACCGCACACACTCCAGTGATACTCCAGTGCGGACACAGAGGTCAGGGGTCAGGAATGATGTCCTCCGAGACCCACACAGTCCCAGACTCAGACCGCACACAC